GCTATTTATTCTAAATTTCATCGTAATTAAAAGGTAACGATTGTTATATTTATTTTACAACACTTAATACTTATTAATCCACTTAGTTTGTTATTATTATTCAATATTTTCAAAACTTAGAAAAAATTCAATTATTATTAAAAATTTTCATAAAATTCTAAACTAGAATTGAAATTATTTTCATAAATAATAAAATTGTTCAAAACAATTCAATCAATTTCAAAAATTTTAATAAAATTTTTTCAGAAAATTCAATTATTTTCAATTCAATTTTTTTAATACAATTTAATTTAAATTGCTGGATAAAAATTCAATTATTTTCAAAATAATTTTCGCTTTCAATAAAATTTCTTGAAGAATTCAAATTTCTTTTAAAATTTTAATAAAATTCTTTATGAGAATTCAATTCTTTTTATAATAAAATTATTCGATAGGATTTTTCAATTATTTTTAATATAATTTTCAATTTCAATAAAATTTCTCGGAAAAGTTCAATTATATATTACAATTTTAATAAAATTTTTTACTAAAATTCACATACTTTCATAAATAAAAAAAATTTCGATAAAATCCAGCTTCTAAAAAATTTTATAAAACTTTAATTAGAAATTTAATTATTTTCAGTTCAATTTTACTTAAATTCCTCAAAAGATTTTGAGTATTTTTAAAAATCTTAATAAAATTCTTCAAAACTATTCGAATATTGTCATAAAATAATAAAATTTCTTAAAAAAATTTAATTATTTTCGAAAAATTGAATAAATCACTTTCAATAATAAAATTCCTTGAAGAATTCAAATATTTTTAAAATTTTTAATAAAATTCTTTGTGAGAATTCAATTCTTTTTATAAATAATAAAATTATTCGATAGAATTTTTTAATTATTTTCAATATAATTTTCAATTGCAATAAAATTTCTCGGCAGAGTTCAATTATTCATAAAAATATTAATAACATTTTTTATAAAAATTCATTTACTTTTATAAATAAAACAATTCTTCATTAAAATTCAGAATTCAAAAAATTTTAGGATAAAACTTTAATTACAAATTTAATTATTTTCAATTCAATTTTAATTAAATTTAGCAAAAGATTTTGAGTATTTTGAAAAATTTTAATAAAATTCTTCAAAACTATTCCAATGTTGTCATAAAATAATAAAATTTCTTGAAAAAATTCAATTATTTTCGAGAAATTTGAATAAATCTCGGCGAAAGAATTAAATTATTTTCAAAAAATTTAATAAAATACTTCGTAACACAGATAAATCATTTTCAACAATTTTATTAAAATTCTTTAGAAGAATTCAGCTTTTTTAATACAATTTTAAGAAAAGTTCTCGATAGATTTCAATTATTTTTAAAAGTTTTAACTTTTAATTAACTTTTAGTAATTTGATTAGAAATAAAATTATTATAAATTAAATTTACAAAATTGAACTTAATTTTAAAAAAAATACTTAGAAATCGAACTTTGTTAGGAATTAAAATAAGAAAAATTGAATTTCCTTTGGAGAGAAGAAAAATTTAGAAATTCAACGTCTTTTAGAAAAAAAACGAACTTCATTTAAAAAAAATATCAGAAAATAAAAAGAATATTAAAGAATCGTTTAAAAAAATTTCACCACCAATAAATTTTTGACAATTCCCAACTAAAATACATTTTCAATAAAAAGTCATTGTTCATACTATTTGTCAATGATTCAATTTTTCACAAAAATGTTCCCTTCTCTATAAGAGACTTTTTTTTCCACGAGATTTAGTTGAAAATCCATAGACATACATATACATACACATATATAAAATATACGAATGCGTGTGAATCGAATGCAACCAATCATTCACGTTTGCTTTTTTCCATAAGAGAAAAATTCGGGCGCGCGAGTGAATTTTTTTTTTTTTTCGCCGCCAACATTTTTATCTGCCTGTAATTTTTTCGAAATCTCTATTTAAAACACTGAATACTTTCTATCCGTTACCTAGCTGCGGTGAATGGCAATAAAAAAGTGAACAATAAATTTTGAATCGTTATATGCTTTCTACCCCTATTTTATATGCATGCTTTTTGCCAAGTTAAACATATGCACATTATATGTGCGCGCATACTCGCGGTAGAAATATTTCCATGGGATCTCGCCCTGTGGCTGTCTGACCCAAATTTAGAGTCGTCGTCGTCGTAGTCGTCGCTTCGTTTCTTTGTTTTGCACAATCACGCAAAGGAACCATACATTGCACTCTGCAAAATCCACGTATATCCCCCTACCCCCCCCCCCCTCTCCCGGATCGCATAGATTCGCCGCCGCGTCGTGAGATTCAGTCATGTCCTTTATACGAACGAAAAGAAGAGAAAAAGAGTGAGAGAGAGAGAGAGAGAGAAAGAAGAAAAAAAGCGACCTCATTTTTCATCAAGGCTCTGTTCTCTCTTCCTTCTAGATTCGAGATGAAAAGAAAAAAGTATCTTTTTATTCCTCCCTCCCCCGTCTCATGGTTTTTTTTACCCCCCCCCCTTTTTTATCCCTTACCCGTATATATATATAAGACGAGAACTTGTTCGCTAGAAAAAACATTTCGTTAACTAAATTTACACTCTTCTGTTTCTGTACCCTTTTTTGTTCTTTCTTTAATTCATTAAAGCGAGAGTGTACTCTTGATAATGGACAATTATTACATTTTAATTACGTTGAAATTTTTAGAATAAATAGTTTTTTAAAAAAAAGAAAAATTCACACTTTCTGTAAATTGTAGTTTCTGTTTAAAGTTTAAACTCTTGGAGGGAATTCGGAGAGAAAAATTTTATTCGACATAAGTAAAACTTTTGTTTGAATCAAATAAAATTTATTTGAAACAATTAAAAATTATTTGAAACAAATAAAAATTATTTGAACCAAATAAAAATTATTTGAAACAAATAAAAATTATTTGAAACAAATAAAAATTATTTGAACCAAATAAAAATTATTTGAAACAAATATGTAAAAATTATTTGAAACAAATAAAAATTATTTGAAGCAAATATGTAAAAATTATTTGAAACAAATAAAAATTATTTGAAACAAATAAATATTATTTGAAGCAAATAAATATTATTTGAAACAAATAAAATTAATTATTTAATACAACCTTGTGATAGTATTAATCTTATGATTTATTATTTATGAAAAGAACGAAAATTCTTGCAACAATTTTTAAAAAATTTTTTTAAATAATTAAATTTCTATCAAAAATTTTATTATTTAAGAAAATAATTAAATTATTGCGTAAAATTATATTAAAATTTTTAAAACTAAATAAATTTATGAAAATAATTGAATTTTTTGAAGAGAATTTTATTCAAATCTTTTTTAAATAATTGAATTTGCGTAAAAAATTTTATTACTTGTGCAAATAATTGAATTCTTACGAAGAATTTGATAAAAATATATTTAAATAATTGATTTTTTTTCAGAAAATTTTTATGTAAATTGTAGCATTGTATATAATTGAATTACTGTGAAAAGTTTCTTATTTATGAAAATGATTGAATGTTTGCGAAGAATTTTATTAAAATTTGTTTAAAATAATCCATTTCTGTAAATTTATTAAAATAGTAAATATTGAAAACTAGACCAAATAAAAATTATTTAAAACAAATAAAAATTATTTGAAACAAATTAAATTTATTAATTGATACAACCTCTTGAGATAGTATCAATCTTTAAATTAATTATCAGTAAGATAAATCATTTGCAACCTTCGTATAATCGATAATTAATTTTAAAAAAGGACTTAAGACTGAAAAAATTGTAAAAAAGTAGCTATTGAAAATTAATTTTAAGGACTAAAAAACTTTGTTTCCAACGCTTTACAAAAATGCATATATTTTCTAAATTCTAATTTTAAATTTTCCAAAAATACGATTATATTTAAAAATAATTTTTAAAAGTAAAAAAATAAAATTCTTTAAAATATAAAACTATATTTTGAAATTTATCTATTTCTAAAAATTACAACTGTAATTCTTCCAAACTTCAATCATTTTTTTTTTCTTTTGTTAAAATTTTTAAATAAAATTATTGAGAACTTTTCAATTATTCAAAATTGAATAATTTTCTAGGAAAATTCAATTATTTAAATACAAAATTAATAATTTGTTGAATAATTGCATGTTTCTTAAGATTGAATTCTCGCAAAAAACGTTTTATAATAATTTGATTCTTTTGAAGAGTTTTAACAAAATTTTTAACAATAATTGAATTTTCGGAGGAATTTATTAGAAATTTTATTAAAAATAATTGAAATCCTACGAAGAATTTTATTATTTATAAAAAGAACGAAAATTCTTGCAACAATTTTATTAAAATTTTTTTAAATAATTAAATTCCTATTAAGAATTTTTGTTATATAAAAAAATAATTCAATTATTGCGTAAAACTATATTGAAATTTTTAAAAATAAATAAATTCCTGTCAAGAATTTTATTATTTAAGAAAATAATTCAATTATTGCGTAAAATTATATCAAAATTTTAAAAAATAAATGAATTTCTGACAAAAGAATTTTATTATTCATGAAAATAATTAAATGTTTGCGTACAATTTTATTAAAATTTTTTTAAAATAATTGAATTTATTTGTGTAATTTTATTAAAATAGTAAATATTGAAAATTAGACCAAATAAAATGTATTGGAAACAAATAAAAATTATTTGAATAAAATTAAATTTATTTGAAAGATTTAAAAATTATTTGAATCAAATAAAAATTTTAGTTGTCTCTGAATCGTATAATTCTTTTCTGCATGTGATAATAAAAAATTATTAATTTTTAATTATACGCTAAAAAAAATTTCTAAAAAACTGTGTCAATTTTGTTTTTGTTCATGAGTAAATTCTAAAATTTTTGCAAAATGAGTAATTTCTTTTCTTTTGTTTATAATTTAAAAATGAAGAGTAAAATTGTAAAATTTTTTTTGCAAAAAAGTCGTGAAATATTGAAAGGAATGAATAAAAGAATATTACTTACTTACAATTGTCGGTGAATTGCATCGGAACTAATTCACAAATAGAAGTATGTAACACTGTTCCGTAATGGCCTTGTGATTATTCAGATGAAATTGTGTCTTCAATAATTCCATTGCAGTGCCTGAAAAATAGAAAAGGATTTATTTTTTTATGACAATTTATTTTTCTGCATATTATCTATCGCTTCGAAAATTTTTATCATATTTGTGACCTATTTTATCGTACAAATATCTTTTTTACACTTTTTTATCGTCACAATAAAACATGTAATTTTTTACAAATATAGTACAAAAAAATTTATCTCTACAAATAAAATTGACATTTTTTTTTGATAAATTTAAATACATGTAACAAATTTTCTGTAAAATCCAAATATTTCCTTATTAAATGTTTATTTCTCCCCTCTTGGAATTTATTTCAAAATATTTTTCTTTATTTAGAATAAAATTAATAATTTTATTAAATTATTTAGAATAAAATGAATAACTTTATTAAATTATTAAAATAAAATTAACTTTATGAAATAATTAAATTATTAATTTAAAAATATTTTTTAAAATAAATTCAACTTTTTCATCAATTTAATCAAAATTGATAATTATTGTAAGAGAGGGAAAAGTTTTTGGTTTTGTGCGCGTTGGTCATGGGCGTTAAGACGAGTTTTTTTTCGGGTGATTGAATAAGCGTTCGAATCTCCCCGGAGGTAGAATTTTTAATTTCTATTTTCTAGATATAAATATCGAATTTATTCCTTTAAAGAGAAATACTTCTTCAAATTAGGATAATTTTATAATTCTTTATAAATTGAAAAAAAATTAATAAAAAAATATACGAAAATTAATAAAATGAATGAATAATAAATTAATAAAAAAAATACAGTAAATTATAAATAAAATCAAAAAGGGAATATAAATTCCATTAAAGTACCTTTTTAGAAAACTTAAACGAATGAAATAAATTGATTTGATACATAAACAAAAAATATAACAAAGAAAAAAAGATAAATTGATAATTAAATATTTGAACAAAAATTAAAATTAATGTCAGTTTTAAAAACTGTTTCGAATAAAAATTCTATAAATGAATATGGAAAATAATTTGTTAAAAATCAACAGATAAATGTTATATCAAAAGAATTTCTAAAATTGTAATAACAATTTTCCGTTTTATCTTTATATATATATATATATATATATATATATATATATATATATATATATATTATTGAGGTGAGCGTGAAATCGAAAAAGCATTTAATGTTATTTGACACCGGTGAATTATGACAATTAATTGTAGACCTTTGAAAACCAAAACACATTGCGTGCTATAAGGTGTGTCAGCTACATGTAAATTCATGTTTACACATTAGAGAACACGCAAATTAACGTTGAATTAAAGTATCATTAGCACGAGAGTGTGAAAACATTTCCCGATGAAAAACGATTTTACTCCACATGACAGTTTGGGTAACTTTTGGCATTCACAAAAAAGAACATACATAGTTTATGCAGAAAAATTTTTCTTTATATCTCTCTTTTCTAATTTTTCACGTCTCGGGGAAAATTAGCAATTAAATTAATTTTTAATCCCTTTTTTTCGGTACTTAAAAAATATTTTTTTTAAAAATTTTTTTACTTAATGTTTTTTTTTACCAATTTTTTTCCAATTCTCTCTCAATTTTTTCTCAATTCTCTCTCAAATTCGGATTTAGATTTTTTGGAACGAATTTTTTTAATTAAATCTTTATAATATCAAATTTTATATAATTAATTTAAATTAATGAAAAAAGTAAATATTTTCAAGTAGTATTTGCAACGATAAAGAAAATGACAATATTTTTAAAAAGTTTGTCATTTGAAATTTATTCTCTTGAATGTTTTTATTTATTTTATTTTTTGTTTATTTTCTTATTCACTAGAGCATTTTATTTACAATTCAATTGAATTTCTATGTGAATTCTAGTAAATATTACATAGAAACTAATTCAAACTAAAACCTACTATTTACTACTTTTTTTACGTTATGCTATTATTTGAGTACTTTTTTCAGATTTCAGCCACTAAACGCTACTACATCTGTTTTTTTAGAGAATTTCCACTACTTTAAATTCGCTGATACTAGAAATCAAAAAAATATTCTCAAAAATGATTATCAATTTCTTTAAAACGATTCAATTATTTTCAAAAAACTTTCGAAATTTATTTATTTTTAATATCTAGTATTTTCATAAAATATCGCAAAAGAATTCAATTATTTAAAAAAAATTGATAAAATTCATTCAAAAATTTAATTATTTTCATAAATAATAAAATTTCCACAGGAATTCATTTAATTTAGAATAGTATTTTCAAAAAAATTTCGAAAAAATGAATTATTTAATAAAATTTTTTTCAATTCTCCACAATAATTCAATTACTTTCACTAATAATAATATTTTTCATGGAAATTCAATTTTTTAAAAAAATTTTTGATAAAATTCTAAGCAGGAATTCATTTATTTTCATAAATAATAAAACTCATCGAAGAATTTCAATTATTTTTAATACTATTTTTAATCAATTACCTAATCGAAAAATTCAAGTATTTTCACAAATAAAGTTTTCCATAAGAATTCAAATATTTTAAAATGAAATGTTCCTAATATTTATTATATTTCGAAAAAATTAATTATTTAAAACAATGTTTATAAAATTTTTATGAAAAATTCAATTATTTTCAAAAATAACAAAAATATTTCACATAAATTCAATTATTTTGAGGCATTTTAATAAAATTTTTTGCAATAATTCAATTATTTTGATAAATAATAAAATTCTTCTTAGGAATTCAATTATTTTTGAAAATTTTAATAAAATTATTATTTAAATTAATTAATTATTATTCAATTATTTTCATAAATAACAAAATACATAGCAGGATTTCAATTATTTTTAATACAATTTTACAGGAATTCAATTATTTTCAAATATTTTAATGTAATTGTTGGAAAGAAAGAAATTATTTTCAATAGAATTATAATTACATTTTTTTGAAATAATTCAATTATTCTTTTATATTTTAATAAAATTCTTCCCAAGAATTCAATTATTTACATAAATACTTTTTCGAAAGAATTCAATTATGTCAATAAATAACAAAATTATTTCCGAAAATTCAATTATTTTGAGGCATTGTAATAAAATTCTTTGTAAAATTCAATTATTTTCATAAATAATAATATTCATCACAAGAATTCAATTATTTTTAAAAGTAATAAATTTTTTTCCTAGAAATTGAATTATTTTAAAAAATTTAAATAAAATCGTTTGCAAGAGTTTAATTATTTTGATAAATAATAAAATGCTTTTTAGGAATTTAATTATTTAAAAAAAAAATGTAATAAAATTCCACACAGTCATTTAATTATTCTTAAAAATTTGAATAGAATTCTTTGTAAAATCTTGGTAATAATTTAATTCTTTTCATAAATAATAAACATTTCTTAGAAATTCAATTATTTAAATTAGAATTTACATAAAATTAGTCGAAAGAAATCAATTATTTAAAAAGCTACTTTTTATTACTTTTTTAAAATTAATTATCGAGTACGAAGTCTGCTATTGAAAAAATAAACAATATCCAAAAATTTAAAAAAAAAACTAATAGAGTTTAAATTTTGACTGGGGTATTAAAATATATCCAATTAGGCTGTAAAGAGTTAAAAAAAAATAATAACAAAGAATATTCATAAGGTTAATTAATTATTAATTAAATATTAATAAATTTTTGATAATAATTAATAAAATTAATAAAATAAATAATAAACACCTATTAATTAAAATACATTTTAATAAAATTAAATTTGAATAAAAATTTATAATGCATAAATTCGCATTTTGAATTCAAATTTCTTTTTGAATTTCACGCCAAAAATTAATTGAATTGCCGCCTAGATGGCATGAAAATTCGCTCACAAACGAAATGAATCAAAGAAAGTACATAAAGTATGCTGATGATGTAAAATTAATTCTTTTCAATCAGAGATGAATAAATAAATAAAATAAAGAATACTATAAATTAGAATAATAAATAAATTGTAAATTATTCTCATTACTGAATAAAATTAAAAAAAATAAAGTTTGGGAAAAAAATTAAAATAGGAAATTTAATTCGAGTGACAATTTAAATATTGTCACTCGATAAAAATTACCATTTCTCATTTATACAGTAAAAAGAGGAGCAAAAAGAAAAATAAAGAAAATATCACGAAGGAATTTACTGCAATTTAATTAAAGTTTGCGATATATCAGAAGAACATTTAAGTGCAATTACAAGGATCTGATAGATCAATTAATTATTCGGAAATATCTAATTACAAAGTTTCTAAATTGATTCAGCTTCTATCCACATTGTTCGAGTATATATATACACACACACTTTAAGTCAACTGAGGGTATAATCGTAAATTTATTATTTACATGTTCTATTAATATTCTACACCTTATTCAGCAATGTTTTCATATTCTCAACGCTCGGTTCTTCACCCTAGAGGTATACTTACATTGAAATTTAAACTACACAGAGTAAACTCACTCTCTCTCGCTCTCTCTTTTTTCTTTTTGCGCGCGTAAGTAGAGTAAAAGCCCTTTGAGTTTTTTTCAGACAAGCACAACTAGTTTATTCTTCACGTTATTAAATCTTTTTTGTCACCCTCTATACATTGCACGGTCACAGAGGGGAATATAAAGGTTTTTAATTTACGACAATGACTTAACACTATAAACACGCAGTTTTTATATTTCCTTTCACCTGATTTTAGAATTTTTTTTTTCTTTACTCCTCTCCCAACATCTCGTTAGATTCATTTTTCAGAGAATTTTTTTTTCCTTCTAATTTTCTTTAAAAAAAAAAAAAATCCAATAGATTTTAATTCCATTCTTTTCAACGACAAAAAATAAAGAATAAAATAAATAACCAAAAATAAAAAAATTATTATTTTTGGATATTTATTTTTAATAAGAGAATAAAGAGATGAAAAAAATCAAATTTTCATCCTAGTAGAAAATTTTTTTCGTATTCAAAAAATTTTGTTTCCACCATAATTCTTGTTCTCAGTTAACTCAAGAATGATTTCTAGTGGGT